AGGATAGCCGAAAGACCAAAACCAAAATATATGTTCTTCAATCCTGTGACTTAGAGCATGCAAAGTCCTTTCATCCTGTTCATGCTTAGGTTTTTGGATGTGTTTCTGCAGTAGGTTTCAGCTTCTCCAGACTAACAAACTAAATAATTCTTCCTCTATCAAACTCTGCTCTCTTCTCTTCTGGAGAAGACACTTTCTCCCATCTTTTTATAAGCTCTACCCCAAAGCTTCTAAACAAGAATCACATCAGCCTTTTAGATAGGCATTAGGGCTGTGTGATGCTTCAGTAGCCAATTTAATTCAGAGGAAATTTGGCCTGATTTGGCGGCCAAATCTCTGAATCTGAATTGAATTGAGAGACCCATTAAAAGCTCTGAATTGAATTGAAGCCTCCTAATTGATACAGAAAAAATTCAGAAAAGATTCAGAGATTTGGAAGGCAGACATGCAGGAAACAGAAACTGAGAAGAGGGAGGGAGAAGGGGGGTGGGGGAAGCCTGCTCTGATATTGACGTCTGTAGCTGGCCAGTGACTGTGATCTTTCTCTGAGTTCCCTTCCAATCACAGTGCTCTGGGGGAGGGACATAGAAACAGCATATAAGGCAGTGTGTGAACTCATCTGTGTGCTGTCTGTCTCTCTGTTGCAACATCAGCAGCATCTGGAGGGCTCTGGTTTGGTAGTAGGTAGTCTCTTCCCACCTAGTTCTATCCAATCCTTTCCTATTTACCCTTGCCTACAATCCTTATTGTTACCCATTCCTTTCACCTTATTCTTCCCCAAAAATCCTCTTATTTGTTCTTGTTAACCTGTCTCCTCCTCCCCACCCCCACACACAGAAATCTGTGCTTTCCCTGACAGTGTGTCATCACTGTGCAGGAAAGCACAAAATATATTACACGTATTACATAAAGACATGCATTTTGTACCACACCAAACATCATGAATCGTACAGGACAGGCAGGTGCCAGGTCTTCTGGCAGCAGAAGGAGAGGGGGCAGAGGGAGAGCTGCAAGTTCCCCTCCCCACCCAAACATAGATGCACCCTCTTTCCTGGCAGTGAGGAGTCTTCTGCTGCTAGTGGGAGCAAGGATGTGGGAGCTATGTCTGCACCTGCAGCACCACCAGTAACACCACTAACCACAACCAGCAGCAACATGAAATTCTCCGCTCCAATTTCAGTTGCCAGGGTGAGCCTTCCAGTGTAAGAGGAGGAGCTGGATTAGGAAGCAGGGGAGCTGAGTGCCATAGCCAAGGATATTCTGGGGAAGGAGGGGAAATCTGAGTTTGTCCTCCACATCCTCATAGTTCTCCTAGAGGCCAATCTCCTTCTCTGGCAGGCACCTCAGAGGGGATTGTGGGGGCAGATGGCTCATCACCTTCTGTTGTTGTGCCTCTGCCTGCTGAGGAGGGGGATAAGGCAGGATACCCAGCCTCAAGCCAGAAGTGGATAGGTAGTGTCGTGTGGGAACATTTTGAGGTGGCAGATGATCCCACATATGCTACCTGCCAGCGCTGCTGAAAGCAGATCAGCTAGGACAAGGATAAGAATCATTTCACCATCACAGTGATGCTGCTACATTTTAGGAGGCAGTACCCCTTGTCCTTGTTCTTCCTTAGCCTGGCACCAGTTGGACTGTGCCCCCAAGAAGTCTCCATCTCGCTCCAGAGCCCTGTTCACAAGAAGCAGGGGCAGACCACCCTGGACCAGTGGGGGAAAGGTGGGCACACAGGAGGGCATGTTTCCAAGGTGAGCAAGGTAACCCAGAGTGTTGGGGAGATGATTGCTGTGGATGGCCAGCCCTTCTCTTTTGTTGAGCGCCCAGGGTTCAGGTGGCTCATGGTGCTCATGGCCCCATCTGACCAAGTGTCTGCATGCACCACCTTTAGCTGGACGGTGGCGCCCTTCCTGTATGAGGCTTGCAGGGAATACTGGAGGGAGAAGCTGCAGAAGGCAGGGCTGCATGTAACCTTGCACTTCACCTTGGACATCTGGAGCAGCCTGGGTGGAGATCATGCCTACCGCTCCCTCACAGGACACCAATGTGATCAGTCAGGCCATTGGTGGGCTCTCCTTTAAGTGGAAGTGATTGATGAGTCCCACACGGCAAAGGAGATTATGGTGGCCATGAACCTCATGGTGCAGGGGTGGCTCACTGGGCAGGGCGAGTTCACCCGCAGGTTCATGGTTACTGACAATGGGGCCAATATGGTCCATGATGCCAACTTTGTTGGCATCCGCTGTGTGGCACACAGGTTCTACCTCATAGTCAGGAACAACTTGGAGAGGGACAGGTCTCCCAGTGATGGCACCATCAGTACCATGACCAGACAGCTCATTTTGAAATGCAGGAAAGTGGTGGGCTACTTCCACTGGAGCATCAAGGGGGCAAGATGCTGCGGGATAAACAGGCAGAGCTGAGCATCCCATAGCACAAAATCATGCAGGATGTAGAGACTCGGTGGAGCTCCACATACCTGCTGCTCAAAAGGCTGGTGGAGCAACAGAAGGCCATCCATGAGATGCCCTTGCTTGGGGAGATTGGGATCAGTGGTCCCCTTAAAAAAACTGAGTAGGATACCATCTCACAGATCTTGGTGTTCCTGAAGCCATTACTCGAGGCCACCAAGAGCCTCAGAGCTGGCAATGTCCTCCTTAGCCAGGTGATCCCCCTAGTGAAGGAGACTGAAAATCAAATGGAGAAGGTCCAGGGGATCTATGGTGAAAGCAGCTTGCCCCAGGCAGGAACAGAGGTGCAGGCACTGGTGAAGTGGCTGAAGGAGGGCATCAAAAAATGTCTGGATCCATTGTGGTCCAGTATTGTCCATGTGCTGGCAGACATGTGCAAATTGAGGGTGAAGGGGAGCATCTGCATCAGCAAAACCCTCGATCACTGGATGGAGGTGCTGGTGAACAGAGTCAGGAAGGCAGAAGGGTAGAGGCTGGGGGATGTGGAACAGGGGGATCCACTGTCTCTTGCCAGCACTCCAAACACCAGCCAATCTTTTCCACCACAGCCGCTGCCAATGTGGGCCATGGGTATGGCTTCAGTGTTAGGGTCCAGAGCCACCAGACCCCATTATCAGGTAGGTAGTGTGGAGGCCTGGTGGCTACCTATCTTACCAAAGATGTGGAGCCACTGCAGTGTGACCCCTTGGCCTATTGGGCAACCCGCAGCCAGATGTGACACGATCTGACCACGGCTGCCTGGGAACACCTGTCCTGTCCACCAATCAGTGTTCCAAGTGCAAGGGTGTTCAGCATTGCTGGTGATGCAAAACACTTCACAGATGAGCCTATGAACTTCACTTCATCAACCTCCTTGATACAAAAACTTATGGACTCAATATAGACATTGGATTTATAACATACTATAACCTGCCTGATATCTGACTTCTCAGGTACCTCTCCACTTTTACCTGCTACATCCCCCCTTACCCCCAGGCTGTCTCTCACCCCCTGATACCTCAATTCACATTTTCATTGACTGGCTTTCTTGCATGCATACCAGCCTCTGGCTTCTTTACTAACCGTTCCATCCAGGAATAGCACACACACCAACTGCAGATGCATCCTCAACCTGATGAAGGGGTTTTAAACCTGAAAGCTTGCCAAGATATATTTCTCCAACTATTCATTTGGTCTAATAAAAGATATCACATCTACTCAAAGAACCTTTCCTGCCTGTTCCTTAGACCAACACGGCTACAACCAGAAACCCACTTAACACACACAAGTGACATGAGTTTTGCTTTCAACAGTTTGAGGTGCACTTTCACAGAAGCCCTGACCCTATCTCCTTGAAACTTGGCAGGCTTTCTGCCCTCAGAAGGAGCAAGCATTCATCCAAATTTGCAAAAAACAAGACAAAGTTATAGGTATTTTAGTGACTTACCATTATCGTCTTTGTCCAAATCACCCAATTGGCCGATTTGGTGGCTGAATCTCCGAATCTGATTTGGCTGAACTGAATCAGAACAGTGACTCAAATCACAGAATTGAATCACTGTCCCCCCGAATCAGCCAAATCTGAAGCCAAATTGAATACTTGCTGCTTTGCACAGGCCTGTTAGGCACCCAGTATTGTACTGTCTCTTATCATTCCCTTCCATGCCCTCCTTCTTGACAGACCTTCCCGTACCATCTCCTGGATGGAATGCTTCCCAAGTTCTCTTGGAAGACAGGCCCCAACACCAGTGAAGTTATTGTGAAGAGATTTCCTAAACAGGCTGACACTTTCTTCAAAGATCCCTGCAATTTGAGGTATGGTGACCTTATACTCTTACTTCCTCTCCCATCATGCAAAGCATCTTTTCCTAAAAATCCTAGCCATTCCTCGAAGAACTACATGCTTGGTCTTAAAGGGATTAGCCTTAAAATAGGAAAAAGTTCCATCCAGTCCTTCCCTTAATGGGACAGAATGCTATGTGAAGCAACTATGAAAACTGAAGATGTTCACTGTAGACAGTGAATTGTAGTCTCTTGAAACACACCAACAAAAGAGGGTAAATTTTAACACCTAGAAATTGTTATGCATTTCATGCCTTTTTCTTTACTGTACCTTTTGGCGTTGCTATAGATGCACCAATCTCTTATTGTTTAGTCACTGATATGGGCTGGTGAAGCATGTGTTACCAGGTGTTGAACAGCTTATTTTTACCAATTTAATAGTGTGAGAAAGCAAATAGTTGTATTCTCTTGTACCTGAGGACTAGTCTCTGAAAAAGTAAAAGTATTTGGTAGTCAACCCAAATAATGCAAATTGTTTGACTGTTATAAAGAAATGTGACTTTCTTTAACCTGGGGAGCATTTAAAATGTGTAATACTAATTAGCAGATTGAGACAGTGCTCACCTGAAACAAGTAACGGTCCTTTACCCCATATATTTTCAGCTTTGTTAAGCTGTAGAGAACATGAGTTTCATAAATATTTGGTGTAGTCTTAATGCAAGTTTGGCTCACAGTGCTGTGAATTTGTATTAAATATACACAGGTCCCTAGCACTTCTCAAAGACCAGAAATTTATTTAGATTTTTTAAACTGTAGGTATTTTACAGTAATTAAAATATACAAATTACAGGAATAAACGCTACAAAATACATGGTAAGAAAATAGAAATTGGATCATTCAAACAATATTACAATAACATTGCCCACTCTCAGCTTACACACCCTTAATCTCTCTCTCAGCAAAAAAAAGGAAATGAAATGAAATGAAAGAAAGCATTAGGTGTCTTGTTGGTTGTGTGCTGCTGGGTTTTTTTTTAGCATGCCCTGAAGCTTTATAAATACAGTCCCTTGTCAGACAACATGAGGGAAATAAGTTTTGTAGCTTAAGAACCTGCAGACTTGTCTTGACATGTGACCTTTGTCTTTGCCACCAACACGGACCACTGCTGAGGTGTTTGCTTCAGAAATCCTGGTCTCAGGCCACTTAGTAATTCCTGTTTCTTTTTCCAAAGGAAAAAGCTTTAAAGGAAGTTTACAGGTAACCAGTACAGGCTACAGAGCACTAGTGTCATTAGGTCTGCATGACAGACAGCTTGACATTAAATATGACTTAGTATCTGTATAGACAGGCTCTCTCATGTTTAAAATTGTGCCAATTAATTATTATTCTTAAATTTATGCTTCATGTTGAAATAGTGTGCGGGCTGTGATATCTGTAGTTTACAGGTGAGCTGTAATAGGTAGAGTTAGAAGCTAAAACACAGTCCTGCTGTGCAATAGCAGAGAGACTGAACAGCACAAATTCCAAACTGGTTGAGTCCCATACAAAGTATCTGGAGATGCTGGGGCACTTTGGGCTGGATGCAGCAAATGATACATCAAGGCTTCTTCTCTAACTTCTATAATTTTGATATTTAAGTAAATGTAGAGATGTGGAGGTTTTAATTCTGGGGCTGCTAGAAAGTGCACTAGACACCTCTAAAGTGCACTAGACACTACAGGAGTCCTGCCAGTCAGAGCTTTTCAGGAAGTGCACTAAATCATGGAAGCTTGACTAGCACTAGCACAAGCCAACAGTTCTTATTTTCCCTCTTCCCTGCAAATCCCTCCACACAGGCTTGAATGAAGGCTGATAATGCTAGAGGCTAAAGTGACTGGTATAAGGAACAGAAATAGGAGATATTGATGAGGGCACTGAAATTGAAACTACAGAGAAAATATGGTATTTTCTTCAATGATACTGTAATATACGGATAACATATTCCACAGGATGACAAAGTGTATCAAAGTCTAAATAAATATTGTAGGACTAGAGGGGGCACCTCTGTCACTTAATTTGCAGATATTTCTTGCAAGACCATTCCCGTCTCTTTAATTTTTAGGAGATAGCAGGTTAGGGCTAGATTCACAAGGGGCTCAGGGTTTGTAGAGTTCAGCATTACAATATTACATTCTAGGTACCCTGCCACTAGGTGGAATTCACAATCCCCAGGTAAGCACCAAGACTTTCCTATGCACTGCATGGGGAGAGTTTGGCATCTAAGAAGGGCTCAGCAGCCAGCACATTGAGTTGCCTATGAGAGTCAGTAGGAAACACATTGAGGTATGGGCCTAAGACCCTCAAAAAATGTAGGCACTTAACTAAGGGCCAGAAAGAGATGCCCATGTCCTCTTGGGTTGCATAGCCATGAGCATTTCCTGGAGTTAGGTACCTCAGGTAGGATCCTTTGTAATCCTGGTCCCCTTTCTCTAAGGGATGTGCCCTAAACACCAGACTATGGAGTCCCTTTTTCTCCCTGAACTAATAGATTTTTCAATTATTTTGATGCAAAGTGGAACAACTTTAGTAGACGAGATCATGGAGGAACTGCCTCAGAATAGTTCATAGCTCAGTGGTTAAGACACTTTCCTGGGAGGTGGGAAATCTGGTCACAGTTGCCCACTCCAAACTAGCCAGAGGGAGGATTTGGACCTAGATCTTCCAAGTGAATATTCAGACCACTAGATTACTGAATAAAAAGAAGAATATCACATCTTTCTCCTCATCCTTAATGGATTAGGGCCCAGTGGTAAGATATGTGTAGGAAACACTTTTTGAACTCTTTTGAGATTTAGGAGGGCTCTATGGCATTAGGGCTTGGGTAATTCTGTTTATTCCCAGTGATAGAAATTCAGTAGATTTTATCAGTGGAAACATAGGTACCTATATAGGCTATAGGATTAGGTGGCAGCTAACTGGCAGTTTATAACACTGATGACCCCTAAGCCATGCCCACCCCCTTATGAATAAAGCCAAGAGACAAACTGATTTTTATGGCTATGGTTTCCTGTTTCTCAGGAAAACAGGCACATTGTGGAAAAGTGATAGGTTTAACTCTGAATATACTCATATTAAACATGACTCATTACTGTAACTCATGCTACAGCAGGCGGATCTGCAAGAGATCAAACATCTGTTATAAATTACATTACTACTAGCATGTGATAATGTTTGTAATCTGGATACCTCCCTTTCAAAGACATAATAATTGCTTATCATCAGATGAAGCTTTTTCAAAGAACTTTTACTACTCAGACTTTGATATCTATTGTATCATCTCTGTTTTCTTCTTTGAATTGAATTGAATTGATTGTGTTTGCCTGGATCTTACATTGGTTTATGAATTGGAATATTTTTATTCTAGCACTGCATTTATTCTTTGGAATGCTTGCCTGAATACTTAAAATTTCTTGCTAAGAACAGATTTACTACTTGTAAAACAATGGCTAAAATTTTTACATTGTGACTTTCTCTCCCACTTCAGGTTTTGAAACATAAATATTGTAAATATCTGATTTTACCTTTTTTCCATTGATCATTTTATTTCTCAAGAGTCTAACTGGCATTTGATGACTTTGCAACCCTTTTCTAATTAATGTAATATTTAATACTATAAAATACTAAACGTTTATTCATACACTGCTTTATAATATCAAAGCACTATATGATAAACTAATCAATCAGAAAGTTAAAAAATCCTGTAGAACAGGGACTTGTAAGTACCCTTGGCACTGAAAGGGCTAATAGAATAAACACAAATTAACAAACATCAAACTGATGCACAGTGGAATTGTTGGTGCTTTAGTGTAACCAAATCACACTAAGGACTTCAGACAACAAAAATGCTTCAGGTATGGAAATGTTGACTCAGGTTTATTTGGCTTTTGCTTCAATAGGGTCTACGTCTATGTCCAGGTCTGTCAGACAACAGTAGAATATCATCTGAACATACTTTGTTATCATAGCTGCAAAATTAGAAGAAAAAGCATAGATGAAACAAAATAATAACTGAATGTTGATTTTGTAGAAATTTAGCTATCCAAGGTTTTCGAAACTACAAATGCATAAGCCTGATTGATGAGTGCAGATGGGCAAACCCACTGGGTGCATCTACATGAGAAATTAATGTGACACAATAAACTCTGGAGAAGTTTGAGCCGGAGTAAACTGCTCCTGGGTGCAGTGTTTACACACACACCTGGGACAGCATGAGTTTAAACTGGGGAGCGCTGTTTGGGGAAAATTCTGAGTGAGGGGAGGGAGAGCGGGGGGAATAACAGAATGGGCTGGGAGAAAACTGATGAAAGCATGACAGGTAA